ATGTTCATTTATCGTGTTTGACCATCAGATGTTGTATTAAAGTGCAAGCTGAAAAGCTTGAGCGTTACGATTTTACTTCAATTTCTACTCATTTAGTTCCCAAACAATTCTTTCAGTGATTTTCTAGAGAAAGCAAATATTGAACTTAGACTGTTAATCACCATAGTTACCTGAAAATCTCTGGAAAGCTTGGATGCTAATAGATTAACCTTACTTTCCTAAGTTAAGAAAGAAAGGATGTGTACATTAACTTTTGTATTAACAAACAAGCTAAATTTCATGCAGGTTGTTCAGTTGACAAAGTTTGATTATAGGCTTGCTAATGACCTTGATGAAGAGCTACAGAAACTACGTTGCCGGGTAAATTATCATGCTCTAAGATTTACTAAACCCATAAGGAATTTGGGGCAGAAACTAGTGATGCGAATGCGGAAGATGACCAAACGTTTTATTGCAGTTCACTTGAGGTTTGTCACTCTTACTGTTGCAAGAATAAAATGTTCCACCTGCTATTTGAAGGTTGTAATTCCAGCCATTATAGCTAGACCGGCAATATAGGAATATGTCATTGTAGGAACAAGAGATTCAGAGATGCATAACATTGAAATGTAGATGCAACAAAAAGTTTTTATATTTAATTAAGCTTTTTGCTTCTAAGATATTGATGAATTGCTTAAACTTCTACTTAATATTAAAAAGTTCTATGAAGACTTGTCACCTATTTGTTTGTTTGGTAAAACTTGGTTATTATTTTTGAAGCTGTATTGATTTTGGACGCCTCTTTGAAAGGGATATCTCTAATTTGGTAGATTTGAGATTCATTTTGCTACACAAGCAATATTTTACTTTTTATCAGCCCTAGAAGAGGTAAGTGGCTTGGGGACATTTCTTGAAGAAAATGGCACTTTTGTCAGAATGATGTGATACCAGGTAGACAAGAAATGATAATTTGGATCATGTTTCTGCATTTGTCTGCCCCTAAATTTTCTAACGGTCTTGTTTCATTTCTTAAATGTGGACTATTTACCAGTAGACCCACAACGACAAAAGTATTGAATTTTCATAAAATTTCATCTCTTGCATTTCTGATTTGCTCTTTTTGACTTTGTGTTTGGCAGGTTTGAGCCTGATATGCTAGCCTTTTCTGGGTGTTACTATGGTGGAGGAGATAAAGAACGATACGAACTGGGGGAGATAAGGAAGCGATGGGAGACATTACCTGTGAGATCATGCTTTCAAATGATATTCTTCTTCTCCTTTTTTTTGGGCTTATCTTGTATTAAATTAGCCACTTAATTAGCAAAGTTTGATATTTAACAGATTGAATCTACAACATATCTAAAAGTAGGAATATTTAGAGGCGATAATTTGTTACAGTAATAGGTCTTCGTAACAATGAGCGTGTGAATAAAGGCAAAACATAGGTTTCTTGGCAATGGCCAACTCCAGGTGCCATTGAGTTAAGTGGGTTAATCATGTAATGAGCGTGTGAATAAAGGCAAAACATAGGTTTCTTGGCAATGGCCAACTCCAGGTGCCATTGAGTTAAGTGGGTTAATCATGTAATGAACCAGTTTTGATATTTTGCATGGTTCACGAAGCTATACGACATTTCTCTTTTCTGTTGTAATTTTGACAAGAAGAGTCTTGTAATTTGTTACATTTTTTGTGCTTGCCAAAGGAGCTCAGCCCTGATGAGGAGCGCACCCGAGGGAAATGCCCACTTACCCCCCACGAAGTTGGTTTAATGCTCCGTGCACTTGGGTTCCGGAATGACTCCTACCTGTATGTCGCATCTGGTGAAATATATGGTGGAGAAGAAACCTTGCGACCCCTGAGAGAGCTCTTTCCAAACTTCTTCACCAAGGAGATGCTTGCTGGTGAAGAGTTGAAACCTTTTCTTCCCTTTTCTTCTCGTCTTGCTGCCATAGACTACATTGTTTGTGACGAAAGTGATGTATTTGTCACTAACAACAATGGAAACATGGCAAAGATCTTAGCTGGTCGAAGGTGAGATATTGTCTGTTAGTTGTAGTAATGCTTTTCTGTGATTTCATATTCAGCATTATCTGTTCAAATGTTGGTGAAGTACCAAGAGCTGACACATTGGACTTCCCTTAGCTAAGGACAGTTGTTAGTGCAGAGAATGAGAGAAGATGAAGATGATGTTCTAAGCATGGCTATTGTCAAGAAATAGGATTAAGCTTCTGAAGTAAAACCAACATCTAGGAGCTACTGTGTCAAGCAACAAAAGTTTTAGCATTATGCATGAAATTTCAGCTTTTCTGAAGGCCTAAAATTGTTGTATAATGTTTGCCTAGGTATGATCTGATTTGTTATTCTGCATTGTGCTAAACCAAGAAAGAAAGCTTAGCAAGATCCTTTTGAGCGTAATTAAAATGCATTTAAATGAATAAGTGCAAACAACCCAAGAAGAACAAGAGAATTTGATATTTATCTCAAAATGTTGTCTTATAATGTTAGTTTAACAAAGTTATTCTTTATTTTCATGTCAAAGGAGGTATATGGGGCATAAGAGGACTATCAGGCCAAATGCCAAAAGGCTTAGTGCCTTATTCAAGGCACGAGATAAAATGGAGTGGGATACATTTGCCAAAAAGGTGAAATCATGCCAAAGAGGATTCATGGGAGAACCCGATGAGATGAAACCAGGACGGGGGGAGTTCCACGAATATCCAGCCTCTTGCATTTGCCAGAAACCATTCAACCACTCTGATGTTGTAAAGGATGAGGATGGAGATTGGTCTTTAGAGGATAATTCCATTGCTTCTGATGCAAAATCTAGGTATCAAACTATCAGGCAAGGTGAGGGTAAGTCTCAGGAGTTAATGAAAGCCAGAATAGGAGAAGGGCCAGGATCCCTAGCAGAAGAGAGTGACCATGAGGACTTTCTGTCTGACTAAAAATGTCTCTGGGTCAGAGTTGCTGCAAGGTTTTGGGCTCCAGCTGCAGCTCAGATTTGGCACTTAGAACCCCTTGAGTAACATGTGGATTACCAGGTGATGTGGGTGCATGTATAGCTAGACTGTATCTTCAATCGTGTTGCAATTGTTCATATTAATGTTAAGCACCGTAGTTTGTAGGAGAGGAATGAAGCTATTTTACTTGGTGACGAGACTTTAGCCAGCAATGGCTTCAATTGTTAGCTTACACGTGAAGGAAGTTTTGTGGTCTTTGGAAATAGGCCTTTTCAGGATCCTGCTTGGTCCGTTTGATTCCGTTGTAAAACGCAAGTTGGTAGTGGAAGAAAGATTAAAGGAATAATTTCAGAAACCTCCCTGACATTTCTCACAATATCACTTCGTAAGTTTGTACTGCTGGAAATGACGACATACATAAAGGAATAATTTCAGAAACCTGTCAACGTTTCTCATGATATCATTCAGCACTTCTTAAGTTTTTAAAATTTCACTCACCTTTTTCAGATTGACATTTTTTGTAACATTTTAGCCCATATGAAGGAAATGCAAGAGAGATAAAATTTTTGTTCCAATACTTCCCTTGTGTGGTCGTACTTATGAAACTTGTAACAATAACAAGAATATAAAATAAGGTTGAAAAGTTAAAAGATGAAAATATGAGTGGTTATAGATGCAATAATGAATAATTTTTGCATATGCAACTAAGTATCATCTAATACAACAAATGATATTTTAACCCAAAAAAATATAAGATATTCCTAGATATATATTTTGGTCATTAGATCATGTTTTTATTAGTTTTTTTTTTCTATAAGTAGAATTTATATTACAAATTACACATGAAGAAATTGTTTAAACTTTCAGTACAATTTAAATTACATCACGAGGATTTAAATCTAAAACCTCCTACGTATAATTCCTCTCACCTTACTATTCAACCCAACCCTCCTCCCATATTGGATAGCAATTTGGTTTTTTTTTTCATCTACATTTTTTGGTTTAAAAATTCTCCCTTTGTTTTGGCCTTTTGGTTAAATGGTTGTTGAGAATGCAAGGGTAACGCTGTCAATTTGTGACCGTTGATAGGGATATTTGATCTTGTGAAATTAATAGGAAAAGTAAGTGAAACTTTAAAACCCTCAAGAAAGTTGAATCATATTGTAAGAAACCTTAGGGAGGTTACTAAAAATTATCCAATCCATAAAAGATATACCTTCTTAACCTCCATCGACCATTTTGAGAACACCCTTTTTCTTTATTCATCTGATCTTCAAGACCAGCCCAAAAAGAAGGGGATTTAATACGGGTTACGAGTCCACCAATCCAAACACCGTGTTTATTGCAAATTTTGCGATTGAAATGAATTTTGATCTAATTTAATCTCCACAGTTGAGGTAGATTATGCATTAAAATACTTCTCACAATTCAAACGCAAGTTTTATTGCTAGTTTAACAGATAAACATGGATTTTGCAATAGAAGTACAAGCATTAGAGCTACCCAAAACATTAACAACATTCACCAGAGAAAGTGTAGACCAAACCAGACAAGACTATTCCTAAGATCGCCTATGTGCTTCCCATCAATATCATACCTATAGGCGACGGAAACATGAAAAAGTTGCCATAGGTCTCCACTGGATAATAGTTCCCAACAGCAAAGGGAAGATAAAAAACGGAGGAATTATTACATACCCAAAAGTTTCTTGCACACCTCTTTTATAAATTTTTGCCTACAACACGTACCCGCCATGTAGCCAAAGAGAACATTCTAAAGGTGTGCAAAATGATGTGTAAATACATATCACCCTCCACAAGTTCGGATGATTAACCTAAAGTTCGAGTTCTCTTCCACTTCCATTGACGAGACAAACGTAGTCATAGATGACAACGTGCCAAAGTACAGATCAACTCTATTATTTCAGGTCGATCAACCCTCAACCCCCTCCTAGGTACAAGAGCTTCGTGAGCTCTAATAAGGTAAATTGACAACAAACAAATATTTCGGCAAAGACAATGGAAAAAAGCAAAAGGAATGCTGAAACCTACAGGCAGAAAAATCAACAGAAAGGGCTGCAGCCTGCAAAATGGTATAATTTATCATTCAAAAAATTTCCAAGAAAACTACATAAGTTGATATACAAGCCTACCATGGTTATTGGTTAACTAGACATTCTGTAAGCTAAATCAATATGAACAATTCTAGCTAAATTTTACATCTTCGCAACACCAGGTACTGTGAACCCTCCAACCCAGATCTGCTTCTATGATAAATATTCACAAAATAAATCCTGGGTATCTTGATTGCTAAATGCATATGCTGGTTATTTAAAATCCTTCAGACCCAATTCCATTCAAAGAGCTTCTCGACTAGATGTTATTCCCTGTCACAAAATAATACAAGCCATTACAAGTTAAATACTGCAACATATCCCATAGCATTCTTTTATCTATTCTTTTGGTGGGGAGGAATAAGGGGAGGCCCAGGAAGAAGAATGTTACTTAGAATTCAAGTACTACCTCTTAGATACCGCCCTGTTATGGCTTCTCTGACTTTTGTCATGTGAAACAGATGGAATCTTGGAGACTATGAGTGAACTCTGCAATCCTTCTAATAGCTGTAGATAATCAAACCAAGTATAACTAGGGATCCTCTTAACCCCAAAAGATAAATTGAGATCTACTCTGAGTCAAAGCAAAATATGAGATCACAACTTGGTATAAAAGCCAAAGGAAACTTGTTACGGAACATTATATAGAGTATCAGGAACAGAAAAAAGGAAGACATTAGCCAATTATCAAGATCATATCAAAGCTACAATTCTGTTTACAGTTCCAATTGATTTGATTCCAATATTTATTTACTACTACAAGCCAGCGCACAATGCTCTCATGAACAGACAATCAGAGCAAGGCCCTTCTTTATATGACCTTCTGCAGGCAGAGAGAATATCTATGTTGTATAAATTCAATGACACCAAAATCATAAAAGCAATGTTGCTATTCAAATTTCCCACATTCTTCATTTTCTTTGCATTAACTAATCACTATCTCAAATAAGGTCAGATGGCTGAATATGCACCAAATCTTGATGTTGAGTACAAATTTAAAGCAAAGTAAGGAATTTGATTAAAGTTAAACTGGTTAGGCAAATCTGCTTTTGTGTAGATCCAACTGCAAATATAACAGTTTACATCTTGGTACTTACCCTTGATGTTGGCTGAATCCTGCGATTTGATCTACGGGGTTCAACAGCTTCAGGAATTGGTTTGTCCTTCAACTCAACCTTAGCTGACTTCCCACCAGCAGGCGGAGGTTTTCCTTTCTTCAGCCGCTCAGATTTGGTACCCAGAGTGGCTGCTCTCCTTGGAAACTCTGGGGGAGGAACTTGCGAAGAGGACGATATAGGTTCTTCGGCTGTCTCTTCAACATTTGAAGAGGACACAAAGTCAATAAGATTCTGCTGACCTGAATCATTCTCATCATTGCTGGTTGAATTCTTTGCCAGATCATCTGTTAAGCTTGCATCCTTTGAAGCAGCCAAAGATACCACAGAATTCTCTCTCTGAGGTAATGTTCTAGCAGACAAACCTGGAGGTTTTCCAGACTTAAGACCCCTAAGTTTATTAAACTCAGCTGTTTGCTTTTCCTTTGAATCAATTTTGGAACTACTCTTCCATCCACGAGGTCCTGGTCCTTGAGGCATTAAGTACTTTGTGAATTTCTCTGAGTCATTTGAAGCATTGCTCTTTATGCTACGATCAGAAACATAGTGCTTGCTAACTTCCATAAATTTTCTTTTCTTCCCAGGCTTGGGAACGCCAAAAATAACTTTAGAACCTTCCTTCTGTAAACCAGACCTCACTGTTCTAAGAGTCTCGGGCTTGTTTTCATTCCTGGTACTACCAACGTTGAATACTTTATCACTAGCAGATAAAGGCAGCAACCTTGAATCCTCGGGTTTCCCTGATTCAGCATAATCCACATTCTTTGATATTTTGCTCTTCCCTTTGCCCTCAACAGGAGGACTTCCCAGCTTTATTCGCTTCTCCTGTGGTGTATCACCCTGAAAATTCATAAAGTAAACAAACAAATAGCAACCAATAAGTTGGGGAAATGGAGATTCATGAAAAAATAAATATGAACAAGAAATAGTGTTAAACCTGCAAAGACTCTTTGAAATTTGCCCACTCAATCCACTCCCCATCTTTCCATACAAGGGTTGGCCTGAGATGCCATGCTCTAACAACTGACGTTTTTCCTTGAGCTGCAGAGGAAACACATGAAAAAATTTATCTCTGGAAAAACCAGATCATCTTTTTATGAAACACAAAAATTCTGGGGTGTGCAACCAGAAATACCTGGAAAGTGAACACTCAATGTAGTCTCATCTTTTTTGTTCTTTTCTATAATCACTCCTTCACGCCAGCTAAAAAACATTGAGAAAGCAGGTTCAAAATAGTTAGTCTCTGTGTCAAACAACATGACATCACAGCTCAAGTACAGAGATCTAACAGCAGTTCAAATCTAAGACTTTTTAACTCTCTATTGACAAAGTTCCACAGACAAGATATCACCAAAATAACGCTCACACTATATTTCAAGGAAACCAGAAAAATGAAAATGTATGTTAATAATGTATAGACTCTTAAAAAGAAGCATAATTTCCTCTCCTTTTGTATTGTTTGGCATTTTCCGCTAAATAATTCTGGATGCAAATTCAAGTTGCCGCATCTTTTCCATAAAAGGTCATCCAATATTTTAATGAATTCCAGGTTAAAAGCTTCCTTAGGTTGTCTAAATGAATCATATATCAACAACACAAAAAAAAAATTCATGAACAAACATGCGCACACACTCGACTCTCATTGTTTGACAGTGCTCAGAATGAAGTCTACCGTAACTGACATGTTAAGACGTACAAAAATTACACAATGGAAGAAGGTTTGGAAAAAGAAGGAAAAACACATCCCATGAAGATAGCTCCCTCCCTCTTCCTGTCACCAAAAATCTTTCTGCCTTGGTCTATGATTTGAGGCACCTAAGTTACATTTACTAACAAGATGACAACACTTGCAGTGAAACATTCTCCTTTCTGAATGCAACAAAGAGTCTATGAAGGCAATAACTTGAAATATAAACACCCATTTATTTATTTCTCTGTCATTTTGGTAGATAAACCTCCTGTGATTTGCCATTAACATTCTCAACCATCAAGAAGACAAATCATGAAAATTTACCAATACAACCACAACATGCAGAACTTATTGGGCACATTAGGCAGGGAAACTGTCACCAGAACATCTAAATAGGAAGTAATCACGACAATTGGTAATAAAACCTATTAAATAACCTACGACAAGGAAAAGGACTTAAACTGTTCACTCTACTATAAACCACTAGCAAACATATTAAAGCTCCAAAAATATTCACAGAGAGATGTAGGGGATCTCACCAATTTTCTATCCATGCATCAACTCTGTCATCAACAGACCAAGTATAATCTCTTGCAGCTGCTCTCCGCCTCTTCCTTGTCCCTTCAGATGTTATGCTAGTCATAGGATGGGCAAGCCGTATTCTTGGCTGTTTACTCCCTTCTGCTTCAAGTGGTATCCACTCCTTCAGTTTTGCTGACCCTACACCGAGAATTAAGAATAAATATTCTATAATAGTTGAATATACTACAGATATACTTTATCAAGAACAGTTTTGCCAAACCAAATGTCACCATGCCATAAACCATGCTCACTGTGCATAACTAAAATCCTAGCAGGTCAAAGACCGATTATACGAAATGCAGAGCCTTGTATGATAACCTGACTCTAGCTTTTATGAAGCCAAAATATTACACAAAGGACTTCTTAGATTCTCACCACAATCTGATGCTTGGCAAGAATGGATAGTTGAGTCTGCCTATAATTTTAAAAGAATTAATGCATGGACTTTGTGATAACAAGGTATGCATGACAAGTTTCTTGAGAAAGTAAGGTGTTTCTAGTTATACACCAATGCAATGTTATCCTCCAATACTTTCCTCTTCCCTTCGGGGAAGGGGCTAACACACCAGGATTTTAGTCTGTGTGACAAAACAATCAACTTTCACAGTGGTATGTCTGAGGCTTTTATTTAAATTGCAAGATTTATTCCATGACCACATTGTCCAACTTTCTGAGATAAGTTTCCTCCATCTCTTCAACTGGTTGGGCAAATAGACAAGCACTCTGCATTGTGCTATAGGAAAAAAGGAAGCCACTCAGACATGCCACAGATTTCACTCAATGAAAGCTTTCTGATATTAGCCTAAATAGGTAGGCATAGCTTCAGTTGGAACCGATATACTGTAACAGGGTTGCTCGTGTCAGCCTGAATGGTTGTCAGACACAAGGAGATATAAGAAATTATAGACTCGAGATGATATTAAAATGCGAATTGAGCGGTCAACCTGGAATTTAACACTAAGGTGATAGTGAGGTAACATTCCTAAAACTTAGCACTCTGCCTAACGTCCCACGGTATGTGTCTCAAATATGATGCATGTCATACTGAAACATGTTGCATAGGGAGCTTACCTTCATCTGATTCCAAATCAGTGTAGCAAACCAAGGCTTTTCCATCCTTCAAACTCAATACGTTGGCAGAAAACCAGGCTCCAGTGAAATCCCCATTGTCTTTGAAAACCTTGAATAAAAGGCAGCTAACTGAATAACATATCTCAGATGTTAAACATTATAGACAAACATCATAGTTTATTTATATCCTTTAAGACAAATAGCGTACAGTTTTGAAGAATATCATAGCCCATGAAACAAGGATCAAGAAAACTTAAAGAGGCAGGCATTCAGCAAATTGAACATGCCAGTCTTAAACTGCAATAAATTGCAAAAATCCAAAATTCTAGACCGTTAAAACCTACATACCTCAACAAGGCTACTCTCTTTTATGCCATTGTCATTAAAGGTAACAATCATATTTTCATCTGCCATAGATCTTGATCCGATCACCGCCTCATGAACATCATCTGTAGCCTTCCTTGAATCTGATGCTCTACGACTCTTTTGCCCTCTAAAATCCTTTTCAACTCGAGTGTCAGTAGCAGAAATGCCCTCACCTCCCTTATTGTGGTTCTCCTTGGATGTCTCTTTAGGGAAAGGTGAAACACCATTGTTTCTAGTATGTACCTCCTTCACTGAGTGGTCCAGAACAACATCACCCACTTCCTCAACACTGTTGATGCTCGACTTATTTCCAACCATGTTTGACTTGGCACCCTGCCCAGAAGGTAATTTTGCACCTTTCCAATAATTTTCTGGACCAGCCTCAACCAATTTACTAATAGGCAAAGGATCACCCATTGCAACAACTTTCCCTGCTTGTGATACAGCTTCTGCTGCCAATTCAGCAGCTTTTACTATGGCATCCAAATTTTCAGCATGCCTTGAGGCGGCTGAAGCAGCCTCAATCTTCTTCCTAGCAGCTTCCCTAGCAGCAAAGATGATTGAACTAGAACCATTATTTCCGTCCCCAACCTTCAGAATTGATGCAGGAGTTGCATTCCCCACATTGTTTACAAAACCAGGAACAGATTGTAAGTTAACTTGAGTTGGATGTTGAGTCCCACTGGAGATCAATGCCTCATCAGCCATCAGTTTGGCTTGGAGAGCAACATTTGATGCAATCTTAGCAGCAGCAGCTGCAGCCTTCGCAATAGAAGCAGCTGCTGCTATTGCAACAGCTGCAGATGTTAGCTTAGCCTCAACATCAGCCGTCAAGCCACAATTATTGTGTTTCTCCAATTGACACCATACATTCTGGCAGTGAGAAACTGCTATAGCAGCATGTGCAGATGCCTCTTCTGCCTGCAGTTTAGCCTCCTCCACCTTTGCAATGTCCTCTGGTTTCAAGGGCCTCTTTTCAGGAAGTGATTCCCCACCTTTTGGGTGATCAATGGTGGAAACAGAGGACACAGTTGTGAGAGGCTTATCTGAACTGCTCTTAAGCACAAAATTGGACAGGGTAGTATTAGCAACGGATGTAGAGATATTAGTACCAGCAGGAGCAGGTACCAGCTCCGTGTGATGTCGAGGAACCAAAACACCCTGCCCAAGATCCTCCACCGCATGAACTTTTCTTGATGCATCATTATTGAATGCTGGTACAGCTGATCCTGTCTGAGTCACGGGCACTGATTTCTGGCCAATATCCTCAGTAGCAGAAGTCTTCTTTCTTTTTCTAGATTTTGGATCAGTAGAATGCGGGCCATGTGAACCTGAGACTTTTTTCAAATCATGAGCTGTGGGATCAGGCGAAGCAAGTTTTGTAGTGGAAGAAACTGAAACAGATGACTCTTTGATGGGTGTTAATTTTACTGTTTCTGTAAGGGGTATTGGAGGAAACCGAGCACTGACATCTACAGCAGAACTTTGTGCAGAGGAAACCCATGAACCAGGGAAAGGGGGCTGCGATGCCCAAGAAGTTGTATTTCCACCAAAGTTACGCATAGGCGGTGTCTGATAAGCATGCAAAGGAGAAAGTGCCTGATAATCAAGAACAGGACCTCTAACCATGTTATTGGTTGCCAGAGCATCACAAGAGGGCGTAGGTATGTTCCATAGAGGTGAAGAAAGAGGTATCATTGGATTAACAACAGGAGAAGGGCCACTCTTGCTGCTCACTCTAGCAGCAGGTGTTGAAAGAACCTTGTTTTGGCTCAAACCCTGTATATTTCCCTGCTCTGAAGTTTTAGGACCTACATTGGAGCAAATTGGAACACGCTTCAGCAACAACAAAACCTTAAAAAACCTCAAAAAGTCATGAAGTACCTGAACGTGATTGTACAGGGGTCTCAGAGCTGCCTGGATGCAATTTTGGACCATGCAGCCTTTCCAAACATGCCCGCCAAGCAGGCTCCCAAAAGCTCCTCCCTCCTTCTGTTAGTGAAAAGCTTCAAGCTAGTTACCACAGATGCTAACAGATACATGCAGGTACGAACAAAATAAAAGGAAGAATATACGAACCACACATCCCAAATGCCGAAACCATACAAGCTTCATCAGGTGCTACTCCTTGTCTGCACCATCACAATTTCAAAATATAGTTAAATCAAATGCCAGCAGGTAGACATGACATAAGACTTTTGTATAAAAGTTCAGGAACTGCAAGAGAAAGGTATCAGGAAAAGAAACCAGACTCAGGTCTTATTTGCGGACAAACATAACTATGCCTAATGACCAGAATCTATTCACTTTCTTCACATGCCATATTGTGTATGTATCTTTGATTTCAGTATAGGACTCACATCAAGGACCCATAAACAAAAATTTGCGCCCGTAATTGCACTTGCTGTAGATCTGTAAAAGGCTGCTGAAAGAATAAAGATACTTGAGCTGAAGTGTTCAAATCTGGTAAACTTGATACAGAAACAGGAAGAACCACGCCTTGCTTTGCTCCACTGCGTTCCACGCTTGTCACTTCTAATTGCTTAAGTTGACAACTTCCTGTTGAGCCAATGGGTGCTGATAATCTGTCCCCTCTCTCTGAATGCTTCAGTGGGGCTGTTTCCTTCAAAGGATTTCCCTTTCTAGCATTTTCTTTCCCTGATTTTGCAGAGCTGCGCCTCGTTTTTCGCTCAGAGGTGCCTTTGGCAACCTGGGGTGGTGCCCCCTTATCAGGTGTTTGTTGACTTCCATGAGAAATTTCCTGCACTACTATAGGATCTACTTGGCTTCCCCCAGATGTCGAAGGGAATTTATCTACGACCTTCAACAATATTTGGAAGACAAGGAAAAAGAAACAAAAGATTATGTAATTTGCAAGACAATAACATCTAAACAAGTATTTAGGATAATGCAGTTACATACTGTGGATCTTTTGTGAGCTTGAATATGCGGATCTGACTGCCAACCCTTGCTAGTTCCTCCCTCTGGAAGACGTTCCAAGGGACTGACATCAAAGGCAAAGCTCCCCTCATCTTTGGAGGCAACATTCACTTGTAAAGCTATGTCACTTGATGAAGTATCACCATCATTTCTTTCTTTGCAGTCAGAGGGAGGGAAATTCTTAGTCATGCCCCCAGTGACACCTGCTTGCTTATTCATCTCACATTCAGAAAGTTCAGGGACACCAATACCATCCGAAGTATCATCAGGTTTCTCAATTGCTGGAGAAATGCTTCCACCTGCAAGAGGGAAAAAAATTCAGATGATAGGGAAGATAATAACAGATAAATGACCCTAAAAAGAAGAATAACAATAATCCGCACAATAGCAGAAGATCACAATTATTTGAGACAAAGCAACTTCTAAGACTACTGGACGAGCACCTGCAATTAAAATGCATCTCTCCAAACCACACACACACACAAAAACCCATAATATTTGATCTGAGTGATAAACAACCCGGGGTACTTTTTGATTAACATTTGCACTCAAAATTTAAAGCAACTCATCAACTGAAGAACAAAGATAGTAATTTTCGCCCTTCTACAACGTATCTAGTATGGGTAAGATGCTATCTGCAAACTTCATACAAAAGATTGTGTTAGGGAGAAAAACCATGGAGGCCACTACAAAATTCAGTTTCTACGTCATAGCTCAAAAGCACTTTTTGGCATAACCAGAATTTAATGAGCTCGAGATCCAAAGCACTGGGTTTAGAAGTCACATCATTCACAAACTGCATAAAATGGGTGGTAAAAAAAAAAAAATTTTAAAAAGAAGAGAGATAATAAATCAACCTTGAACTTCAGAAGATGCTGCTACGCGCTTTTTTTCTTTCTGTGGTTCATCAGGGTTTAGGTTCTCTACTACGTCAGCACCTTCTCCCACTTTTGCATTTGGCTGACAATGAACCAACAGCTCCACTGAAGCTCTTTCAGCAACCACTTGCTCGACATTAGATGCTGCAGCAAATGTCTCAGCCAGTATCAGACTGGCAGAGGCATTAGCTTCATCTGACGCTGCTTCTGCAACTAAATCCTCAGTTCTAACAGCCTTGGCTACAGCATCAGGGTGCTGCTGGGTTGCCTCTTCCACAGGCTCCCCCAACAATGATCTACCAGCATCTATTGGGGCTTCCATTTGCATCCCTCTTTTCCCTTCAAATTGATCACTCTTCTGCTCCATAATCTGATCAGCAACTTTAGTACTAGCAGCAACACTAAGCAAGGGAACACCCACAACTGTGTCAGGTGATATTTGGTCTGCACCTTCCACCTCACATTTTGAATCTGCAAAGGATGAGAAAAAATCAGGGACAATATTGAGTTGAAATCAAGAAATAGACACAAAAGCCACTTTTTTGGTGAAATACCCTTTTCTTTAGTGACTGAAGCGTCAATTTCTGTTCTAGAAGCTGTCTCAACATTCTCCCCAGTTTCAGCCAGAGGTGATGATCCAACCACCTTCCCATCATCAAATGACTCAACAGAATCATGGTCCATTTTACCTGAATCAGAAGTCATCTCTTCACCACCCTTTTCCTGGATTGACACAACTTGTACATAATCGTGAACGTCAACCTGCATAGAGGACAAAACTTCTCCAGAAATATCCGCAGAACCAGCTTGCCTTGGAGGCACCACATATGCTGCATCACTAGAATCCTCATTGTGGACGCCAGCAGCGTCATTTCCATGCTTAGTATCCACACTTATGACACCACAATCTTCTCCAACAGTAGTACATGTCTGTTCCAAAACAGTGACATCATCTGCATGTTTAACGACCTGTTCACTGTGTTTGGAAGATTCAAATTGCATTTCAGATACCATAGGTGTCTCCATTTCAATGACAGAGGACCCTATACCCGTATGGCTAGTGCTTCCAATATGATCATCATTTTTATTGACCAAATTGCTATTTTCATGAGAAATCTGCACATCACATACTTTCTCAGAAGAAATAACATTAGTCTTTGTGTCCCTAGCACCAACAGGACACTCGTCAACAATGCCATCACTACTTTGACAGGTCACTAATGACTTCTCAACCAACATGCTTCTACTCTCAAATTGTAGTCTGATCTCCATGCCCTCTGAAAAGCTGTCAGCCTGAGCGGGTTGAAGAGAACATACCTCCTCATTGCATCCTTCATCCGTCAGCAAATCAGAATTTCCTACTGGCGGAAGTCTGGAAGGTTCCTCTAAGTCACTGGCAGTCACTTCAGCTGCACATTTCTCTACAGCTTCCACATTTGAATCAACCTGATGCGGACAACGGAGGCCAGTAACACATGTTTCTGCAGATATCTCACTGAATTTTTGGTCATCCATGACAGAAACATTATCTTTTACGCTGCAGTCCTCAGATCTATTATCCGTTGAACCAGTAGCACTTTCAAGATGTACATCACATGCCATACTCTGATTACTCAACTTCTCAACACTCACAGGAACATCCTTTGCAAGGCATTCTGCATGTTGAACCTCAACCTCAGAAATAGAAGGATCTTGTTGCATTTTTTCATTTAAAGATTCATTGACTGAAGTGCATATTTCTCTTTGATTCTCATCTAAAGACTTCATGTCAATGCCTAAGTTTTCGTCTGTCACACCTATACTACTTTTTTCACTAGTAGCACCTGAAGATGCATGAGCTAGAAAGTGAACCTCTTTCACCGGAGAGGTAGATTTACCACACGCATCCTCCACCCCCGGGTTCTCACTCAATTCAGAAAATTTTCCTACAACCTCAGCTGGGGGTAATTCCAAGTTAGAATCTTCAATTTTATCTATTTTATCATCCATTTGATTGGGTATGCTAGGAAATTCATCACCAGCATCAGATTTCTTAATGGTAGATTCCCCTGGGATCATTTCTTCCTGCCCAACTGACTTCAATAACATTTCAACAGATTCGGATGAAGTTGCCTCAGACCAGACATTGTTATGCCTTGGTATGGGGCATGAATCAGCTGCACTTGAACTAAACTCTATTCCACTACTTCCACGAGAAAAGTCCTCAATCCACTGGTTATCTTCCTGACTTGGAATGCCAAGAAAAACTTCGTTCTCAACCAAACTGTCAAATCTTAGATGCCCCTCATCAAAGTCAAACTTGGGAAGAGCATATGGACGTAGAACAGGAGAGACTTTGGAGTTTTCTTCACCAACTAATTGAAAACCCTGGCCTTGATAAACATTGTCTTCATTGTCCATTGGTATATCCCTAAGAAGAAAAGATATCAGTAAGAGCAGAAAAAATCCTTTTCATTTTACAGGCTCATCACCAAGACTAGAAGAGCATTGCTATGAAAGCAATTTATACACTTTTGTATACCATCCAAATGTCAAAGCAAAAGATGTATTCCTATTAAATAAACAGAAAACTGTTCTTTGAATAACCATCGCAGAAGAATTTCAAGGAACAACTTAATCTCTTACTTCAAGAGTCTGTGAAGCCCACATTAAAATTAAGGAAATGTAAACCCAGAGGAAAAGCAATACTAAATTCCAAAAACAATTTATGACAGGAGTTTGAAAATTCACAACATAAACAAAGCAACTACATTAGAATCTCCATCCCAACTGAACTCTCAGTTCTCATCTACTGCTAATAAAATTACTTGCCTCAAAATAAATACCACAGGAAACCCTAAAGGTTGTCAAATCCTAATAGAACAAAATCTCAAGCTCCAAATGAATATTAATCTGCAAGTTCTCTGCCACCCAAACATACAGAAACTGTACAATTTTTTTTTTAAAAAAAAAAAAAAAAAAACTGCACCAACAGGGTATAAACCAGTCAATGAATAAGATGAAACCAGAAAGCCAAAACCGGTCAGACATTTCTAGCAAAGATCAACTGCCTTGTTCCTTGCTATTTCCAAGACCAATCACAGCACTCACAGTGAAAACTTTACAATCCAAGAGATGAGGGAAACAAGACTAATAAAAAAAACAATGCTAATAACTTGAAGTCCCTTCCACCCACACCTCAAAAAAAGGAGATATAAAGGAAGAAAGAGGAAGGCAGGAAACTATGAAACTCGTTGCAAACATATAACAGACTGTCAGTGAAATCCTACACAATACAATTCAAGACTCAATTTTCTTTGCATCTTGCAGCAATCTGTTGTTCCCAAAAAAGGGATATGTTTAACCATGTTCAGGGAAATTTTCATTTATAAACCATATTCCTATGTTCAGACATAAAGTATAGCACCCATTTACGCTGTATTTTTCAACCTTACTAGCACTCATTAATGGGCTCTAACAGCAACATATAGCACAAAAGCAAGTCTAGACAAACAAAATAAAACTTTCATTTGTTTGTCAAGAATATTGATTCTTCCATTCATAAAGTTCCTCCATAGATGTAAATGTTGAGCTATTTGAGTTGTTTTCAAACAAATACAGTTTGCAGAAGAAGAAAATGTGGTTGAATGACACTCTTTTAGGTCACCTAAAATTTTCTAGTGATTTCCAAACATTCTAATCAATAAAGCCAATGAAATCAAACAAAAGCAATTCCAAAATAGTTTCTAATAAAATTTAAAAAAAAAGGAGAGAGACTCTTTAAAATGCAAAATGCAACCAACATTTCCCTTTTTCCTGCCTACTATTAGGGATAAGTTCTCAATCACACAGGATGCACTCTTTCAAGAAATAAGAGAAGGATTGCTATCCTCTTCTAATGCCTTCATACAGAAACTGAACTTGAAACACAAACAATTAATAGACCTCCACATGGTGCTTTTATGATTAACATTCTGAGAGAGCGGGGAGGAAGAGATACCGAAGCAAAAAGTATATCAAGCCAAATCACCATATCAATGCCAAACTTCACATCGAGCCTCATTAAATAATCCAGAATTTTCAGAAACCCTGAACCCAATGCCCAACCAAAAAAACAATTCACTGCAATCACCGCATTCCATACATAGAATACTGGCAAGTCAGCAGTAAGCCCAACTCCCTCCATTCATCAAACTCTTCCTCATCACACAAATGGGATAAAAAAAATATTTACCATGATTTTGCCTTAAAGAGAAATGGAGCTAATGTCATCAGCAAAAATCAAGAAATGGAGCTTGTTACAGAATCATTACCCAATGTCATCAGCAATTAAGAACCCCAAGATTCCAATTGCCAGAGTTATCTAAAACCATTAAGTCAACAATGAAGACTCAGTCCTGTAAACAAAGCCTACCATTTCCTTAATACCAACTCCCAGAAAAAAGACCCAAAAATTTTAATTTGCTTAAGCTACTCTTCAACTCGTGCCCACCCATGGATAAAAGAGACTAGATAGGATAAGAGGCAAGGTTTAGAATACTATTCAACAAGTCTCGCATCTTAAGACCTCTTTAAACTAAAAGCCAAATGCAGTGAAAAAAAAAAGTCTTGCTGCAACACCCAACTTCCACATTAATTCTTCCTACTGAAGCACAGCGGATCAGAAAAAGAAAGAAACAATATTCACTTTTTTTTGGGTGAAATTACACTTCCACTCTTCACCACCATCCAATAAAAAATGCTGCTTTTTAAAAATTTACTGCCTTCCATTTTCATCATAAATCAAGGGTGCCTGAGATTCAACCCTATTGCCACATTACACAAGTAAAAGGTCATTGAGCAACATTAGCTCGCCCCAACAACATTGCAAGTCACTCTACACTAACCCAAATAATAGCTGCTTTGACTAATGCTCCATCCACCCCCCCCCCCTGGCCCTCCAACCAAAGAGAACAAAGTACAATATCAAATCTTCCTCCATCACTATTCACTGTGACTGAGAACAAAAAAACGAAAAGGATAAAACAAAAAAGCAATGGAAAAATCCTAACTTTAGCCAATAAACACCAACCTTTGACCTATAATTGTCGTTAATTTAAACAAAACCCTAAATACTAAAGTACCAAGTTCATCAACTAAATGACAGCTAGAGCAAAACCTAATACAAATTATCATATTCCAGCCCCAAAAATCAACCCTAATGTACAAATAGTAATACAAAAATAAAATAAAGCAATAAAAAAAATATAAAAGCAGTGTCACAGATATAACACCATGGAGGAAATGAAGAGTACCAGAACAAGTAGTAAGTCTAGAGACGCTACCTCCCTCCATCCGGCGAATCCTCACCGTCGATCAACTCTACCCCCAAAACTCTTCTGCTTCATAACCAATCCCCCCAAATTCGTAGCGTCTTCCCCTTTCCTTAAAACCCCAACCCCTCTCAACCCAAAACCCTAACTCCTTCCCCCAAAAAAAAACGACGTCGCAGCAACTCAAAAGTCCACTCCGCTACACCTCAACTTTATTATGTTTTCTGATAGCAAGAAGAAAAATGATAAAGTTGGTCTGCGTCTCTCTCTGTGTGAGTGCTCGTTTGTGTGTCAAACTGAGTGTGTGTGAGTGTGTGTTTTTCTTCAGATGTTTAGAGAGAGAGAGAGAGAGAGAGAGAATGGATGATGGCGATCGATTCTGAGAGAGGGGTTGAAAAATCGATGGGGAATCGGACGGGGGTTGGACCGAGCGGAATATAGAATGACGTGGTGGAATTTTATTGGTGAAGGTGTCAATAGGGACCAATGGTTTTTTACTGTTTAGGTGTAGGTGTTCGGTGTGGTGTTTCGGTTACGGATAGGTGAGGGAGTTGATGTGACAGCCTTAGTCACTTAATTGATTGGTTGCTTCGGTTGCAGAATTCATTTCATAAAGGCACGAAATTTGAAAGCGGTGAATCAATGATGAATGGAAGAGCAAATTATTCGGAGACCACTGAACCCATTCAATAGTAGAGTTTTAACTATTCAACTTATGAGAGTATATATTTACCCATTAAATTATCAGAGTTGCAAATTTTAGGCCATTTTATTTGTCTTTACTATTAAATCTGCCAAATCTAAAAGTCGCAAGAATCATGAAACATAACAGGATCTGGTAGGCTTCAAGGTGGAAATAAATTGAATGGCTCAAAAATTATATTTTTGATAGTTTAGTAAGTAAATACATACACTTAAAAATTGAGTTATCAAAACTTTACTATTCAAAAAGTTTAATGACTATTTGTATAATTTGGCGATAATTTCAGAAACCTCAAAACCTCCCTTGAGGTTTCTGACAATTTCATTTACCTCCCCTGAGGTTTCCACAATTACACTGACCTCTCCTGGCAGAACTTGGGACCAAATTGCTGACATCATATAATGCAAAATTACTATTATACCCAAGACATTGTGTGTTATTATAAGACTGAAATCTGATAAATAAGTCATTAGGGTCCAAATTAAATCTTTTAATTTCATTAACCAAATTACCAGTTGGAATCTTGCTAATCAAAAAAGCATTTAACCAGCTGGCGTCAATTTCGTTCACCAATATGGCACCATTTTGTTGATTGACACCAGGAACAACACAACAAACTAGTCTTTTATATATTGTGAAGAAGGCATCAAGAAGAAAAAAGAAAAATAAAAAGAAACATAATGAAGATGGAAGCTGAAGAAACCTGCATACATCTTCGGGTTTTGATTCTAATAAAGTGCTGGATTTTTAGTCATTTCAGTCCTCTAGCTGCAATGAATTGAATTAATTATTGTCTAAGAAATGGTTATTTGTAATTGTTAACTCATTAATCATTTGGCATTTCTTGCTCTTCTGTTTTTTCCCAACGCTTATGAATGTATGATCTTTCTTCTTCCGATCTTAAATTGTGGTGGTGGTTTCATGTTTTACTAATACAGATCTTCATCATTGGCCTTAGTTGCCTCCTATGGTAATTCATAGGTGCTATCTTGCTTTGTGTCGGTTTTTTTTTTTACTCCCCTTTTTGTCGTGTAGGATCCTTCACTAAGCTATTTAGCTTGTAAACAGTTTTCCTCTCTTATTTTTCTTTTCCTCTACTAAGGTATTTTCTCACATTGGTTCAGTGAATTGTTGATTGCAATTCAACAGGACATTGCAAAAGCGAGAAAGGTGTGTGTGTTAATAATGATCTTCATTTTTTCTGCATTTAGGTTCTTCACATGGCTAAGTTTGTTCATAATAGTAGAAAATGCTCCATAAGTTTAATATAATAGTTCTTGCAAATTATGGGATTTAGACTATATTGGGATTATATCCTGGATAAAGTATGGTTCAGATAGTTGTTTTTATCTGGTTCTTCATGCAATGTGATTTGGGATTTGATTTTTCATTGGGTGTACATGATTTGAGAGTTATCTGTGTTTGTAGATTTTAGACTTGGTGTCTTTTATAGTAATATGTGTATTGGTTGATTTAGTTCTTTTGTGATTGAAATGATTTAAACTACTAATTAATTCAAAAAGTCTTCCAAGTTTAATGCATGATCTTTACCAATTACCTCTGTTAGACCAACTGCTTCCGAGTTTCAATATCAAAGAGTAGAGTAAAATGACCCATAAAATTTTAGCTATTTTGCTAAGATCTATTGCACATATAATTTCATGACTTTCTTATTTTAAGTTCGAATATCTCTTCATGTGTCAGTTGTGTCGTATTCTTCAACATTGCAAAAGATAGCAGTAGCCGTTGTTGAAGCTTTGTGCAAATAAAGTCAGTGACTCTTTTTCCTTATTTCACTAACATCCCCTTACTTTTTCAAATTTATTTCTGATTTTTATTAGTTTTCATTATTTCACTAATGTAAATTGTACACCTACCTCAGGGGCATTTATGGGAACAAATTTCCCTCTATTTTCTATAAACATTTTTTTATGTTCACTTTTGACATCATAGGCTAATTTTGTTGCAAATCCTAAACCTCAAGGGAGGTCAGTGTAATTGTAGAAACCTCAGGGGAGGTCAATGAAATTATCAGAAACCTCAGGGGAGGTTTCTAACATTATCCCTATAATTTGTTCTAAATAGAAATGGATAAAATGACTTTCGGTTCTATAGTTCGTGCAGTTGTATAGGTTAAGCACTGTAGATTAGACAAAATTTTTGTTTAGGCATATGAACTTAACTAATGACTATCATGATTGGCTCATTTCCTGAAAACGTAAAGAATGACAGATATAGATTTTTTTTTGATAAAATATTATAATTTTATTAAAATCTGCACTAATTGCTGAAAGTACATTATCAAATACACACAGATATCAAATAACATATTAAGAAAAGATACTCCAAATCTAAAGAATAATAAAAATAACAAGAACCTCATAAAGTTTAATCCATGAATGATTATTATTACTAACAACTGTTGGATTGAGAAGTTAATGCAACATAGCAATATAGAAGTATTGTTAACATGAACATGTTCTATAATTGCAGCAACAATTGACATTTAGTCCGTTTGAGTTATCCAAACACATTTACTACACAACTTGGTTTAATTTCCATATGTTGGTTAGTTATGCCAAGTAAACCAAGTGCACCCACCACAGCCAGGTGTGCGACTCGGGTCGACCAACGGATTAGTCAAGGTAGAGCCCGGATACCGTGGCAGGCAACCAAAAAAAAAAACCAAGTGCTTGTAGTCAAGATCATTGGATAAATTACTTTCTTGGTTTTGGGTTTCTTAAAGCAATTCAAAGCATCAGTCTAAAACGGAAAAATAAATTCAGATGACAAGAGAAAATTAGATGTATAAGTTAAGATTGTGATTTAGCATATAACTACTGTTGGATTTTTTTTAACATTTTTTTTTTCAAAATTTTTTTTCATTCATGGGGTTTTTTTTTTTGTGTCTTCTTCATCTTCAGAATGTGACCTCAAACAGCAATTGGGAATGCCATTCCATTAAGGTTGCAAGTACTTAATAAGTCAACCTGCAAATAATAATTATAAAAGCTCCAAGCAAGCATACTGTGTTCCTGGTTTTATTCATGTACTATCTTTTTAAGAACCTTTTTTTTGGATAAGATATTACGACGGTACTACTGATTTCCTGTTGACTTTATGTTTTGTTCCAATTTAATAAGGATGGATCTATAGCAGTAGCTTTTGTTCTTTCAGCCTACAGGCTACAGGCGAGTAGTGTCTCCCTGTGGAGCTCTTTGTCTCGATTCAAAGTGGATAAAACTCATAAAAGTGGATCAGTAGTGCTCTGCTTTCCATTGGCTGGATTATGTACAGACGATGGAAAACATGTCAAAGCCAATTATGTCAAAATCAATTTACCGTGAACTTATAGATGCTGCTCGTGTTGAAATGTACAGAGTCTACTTAATAAACAACTTTTTGTTGAAAAAGAATATTCAAATAAGTTATTCGACCTATTTTTATGCTTACCAACAATGTAATCTAAAAGAGTATATACAATAAGTAATCCAACCAATTTTTATCCACTAGCATTGTATACACTAGCATGTTTGTATGCATGTCGTGTGTATAAAATTTGAAATTCAACTCCAAATTAGAATGATATGACACGTTTCAAAACCAATTATTGTATACATTAATCCACTCTAAACATGCTACAAAAAAATTTTTTTCCCTAAAATCTCAATTAGTGTGCATATAAGATTGATCCAATTTAAAACTTGTTACAATATATTCAAAAAACTCTCGTAAGTTAGATAACCATGAGATTATTGGTTCGATTCTCAAAATTTTCCCTTTTTAAAGGCTTGATACCCACTATTTATTAAAAAAAAAAGAAAGAAAAAGTACACCTTTACAAGTAGGGTTCAAACAAGTCAAAACTCGCAAAATGCAAATCAAGGAATTCACTATCCATATCCGTACCCATAATTTTGGATATCTACAATTGAAATATCCACATTTATCGGGTCAGTTATAGATATCCAATATGCATCCGAAATTTAAAAATTAGCCTTGCATGTTTTGCCAAACCAATTTTTTTTTTTTAAAATTAACTCATCAAAATCATTCAGCAATTAAAAATATAACTTAAAAAGGCATCATTCCAAACAAACTATACATTTGATAATTTTGCTAACCAAATTCATCAATCACATTCTTAAGAAAGAAAGTTAACTAAACAACAAACAATAAAAGCAAGAGCCAAGAAGTAGAAGGTAGTGAATTCTTTGAGGCTTCTTATTAGAAAAATGTAAAAACATATGTATAAAACTGATTGAATACTATAAAAAATTCAAATATTTTTAATAACTACACTAAAATCCTAATATGCAAATACTAGTCTAATATCTACGAGTATCTAAAAATAAAACCCGTATTTGACCCGCATGAAAGCAAAATCCGCATCTAATCTATATCCGGAAGATCTAACCCGCGGATTTCCGGAAATGCAAGTTAATTAATTTGCACACCCATACAATTTGGAGAATTAATTCCACTTTATACCCTTTAACTATAGCTAAATTTCCACTTTGGTCCCTAAATTTAAAAACAAACACTTTAGCCCTAAATTATAGAATTTATTATACTTTAGTCCCTAAAGTATATGATTTGTCCATGTTAACCCTTAAAGTATAAAATTTACCCCAATTTAGTCCCTAAAGTAAAACATTTAGACTTAAAATCTATCTCACTTCATTGATGATG